GTCTAAAGCAATCGGTTTGAAATTTTCACACGACGCTCTGAAATATAAATGTGCATTCTTCCTTTTTATTTTTTCCTTCTTCAGAAAACATTCATCAAAAATACGATTCGATTCCGATGGAAAATCGGCTATAGTGCGCTGAATTTTGTCTTTGAGCTCCTGAAGCGTTGCTGGTTGATTGGCGTAAACGTTTGATTTAACATACCGGCAGAGAATATACCCAGGGGCGTTAAATTACATGATCTTGGCGGCAATTTGACTTGGCCATTTCTCAAAATTAACGAGTCGCTAAACTTTGCACGCAATGTGTCCATGTCTAGATGTGAAACATGGGACACCGTCTTGTTGGAAATAGAGATCGTCCGCAATTTCATCCAATTCTGGGGGAAAAATAGTCGGTCAATTCCTGCCTCATTTCGAAAGAAATAAGACCCAATGAAGCCGCCATACCACAAGCCGCACCAAACGGATTTGATGATGCAATTGCGTATCCGGACTCACACGAATATTTGACTCACCCAAGTAGCGACAATTTTGTTTGTTGACGCATCCATTACGTCAGAAGTGGTTCTTATCCGAGAAGATGAAAAATGGCAAACCTTGACAAAATTTGACTATCACGAGCTGTCAAAATCACCCCACCCTTTTGGTAGACGCTGTATAAGAGTATATGTATTCAAATGTCATATTCGCCGACATTTGTCCTACTTTATTCTACGCCACAATTGAACTCGCTAATCCACTTGTAGCCCGCTAGCGCCGTCGCTGCGGTTTTTCTGCATCGTGTACCACACTGCCGCATAACAAACGCGCGGTTTAACACAGCCACATACACAACCGCGCGCGTAACGGTGCACGCAAATCAGCAAGCGTGCTTGAACACCCACACAGAGCGAAAGCCGTGCGCACAGGTGCGATTATTATTATTGTTGCAAAATTCGTAAATACCTGTGTGAACGGACTAATTAGTTGCATTGACCGTTAGTTCAATGTACTTACATACATACACAGTTATACAAATTAAGCAAAAGTATGCGTGTGCGTGTGTGTGGTGTTGCGCAGGTGTTCATTTGGTTTGTTGTGCGTGTGTGCGGCTTTTGACTTTGAAAAGCAGTCAGCATTACTGCGCTAATTTGCCGTTTAATGCGCCGCAGTGACTTCACATGCATACAGATGCACCACATATGTGTTTTTGTATGCGCATTTATAGATTTTAATGCTACAAAGTGTGCCGGAAGTCCAGTTCGCTGATTTAAGCTAACCTCTGCGGTTTTTTGACAGGCAATTAATTTGGTTTCAAATGTCGATTTTCCTTTGCGGCAATAAATTCAAAAGTTTTTGTCCGCCAATTTGGGCATATATTATATATGTTACGGTATGTATGTAAATGTGTATATTTTTAGGATGATTAAATTCTGAAAATTGGCTTTCAATCGACTTTTATAAATAAGACAATGAAAAAGGAAATTCAATATTATTTTATATATATTGAGGCATCCATCAAGTTTTTATAAAAATTTAAATCCTCGAAAACAATTAAAAATTTTAATTTTATAATTTTGGTACATTTCAACTTTCAAAATTTATAAAAGGCGTTTAATCTAGATAATCTTCTTCTTCTATCTTCTTAAAAAATATTAAAAGAAGAATAAACGTTTACTTCAGTTGCACCGAACCTATAATAGTCTTTACAAATACAAAATATTACTTACAAGAACTTTGATCGGTCTGCTTGTATATTTGTTATATGCTACAGTGACGTGATCTAAACAATTTTTTCGGAGATAACATCATTACCTTGGGCAAAAATTTATGCCAAATTTTGTGAAGATATCTCATCAAATGAAAAAGTTTTCCATACAATGACTTTATTCAGAACGTTCAGTGTGTATGTCAGCTTTATGCTATAGGGATCGGATCGGTGCGAAATCTCAGATCGATATCTCTATAACTGAGGGACTACAGTCCACGAAATAAGTATACTGTAGAAACGAAGAAATTGAATATATCAAAGCCCACATGCGTTTTTTCTTAAATTTTTCTTAAAATAATAAATAATAACAAAGTTGTTCTCTGCTAGAAATTTATTATTAGAATGTTTTCTAAAGGGTTAGGGGTAGTCAAAGGCACGAAAAAATTAGAATTTTCAGTAATTTTTTTCCTAATAAATCATGTTATTTTACAAAAGTAGTAATATGGCATTTTTATACAATGTTTCGACTTGAAGTGACGAAAATTTCTAAACAAAAAAATTTAATACAAAAGTTATAGCTGTCTGTGTTGACCCATTTCCAAAAAAAGAACCTTCCGGTGATAATCATAAGTCCTTGGAGATTTATCTAAACTCAATCGGATAACAAAAAAATAGTTTTATAAATAGAAAATCTTGGGCCTGATCGAACCTTTTTGAGTTTTTAAAAAATTAACAAAATGGCGGTCTCAGGAAATGCCAACATCCAGTTTGTTAAACGAACCGCTCAACCTAAGTTGCTAACTTGTCACAAAAGCTAGGATGCAATATGCTCAAAAGCACTTGTTGTGGGACGATGAATGGGAAAAAAGTTTTTAGTGACGAAAAAAATTTAATCTAGATGGCCCCGATGATAACGACAAATATTGGAGAGATATTCCACAACCACTGGAATCAAGAGATTGAAGAATTTTTCAGGGAGGATCCCTCATGGTATGGAGGGCGTTTGGGTACAATGGGGCAACTCCAATTTGTTTTGTAACGCATAAAATGAATGCGGTGAATTACACTGATCTATTAGAAAACGTTTTAATAAACATATCGAAACGGTTTTGCGAGGAACCATGGATTTTCCAACAAGATACCGCTGCTATACACAATGCAGCTGCAACAAAGCGTTTTGTTTCAGATAGAAATATACCATTAATGGATTGCTCGGTCTTAAGCTTTGACTTAAACCCAATGAAAAATCTATGGGGAATACTTTCGCAACAAGTTTATTTCAGTGGTCGTCAATTTGATTCCTCGAGGGAACTTAGAAAGTGCATTGAAGCCGAATTGAAAAAAATACAGCTTCCCACCGTTCGCTCTCTGGTCGAGTCTATGCCAAGACATATAAATGCTATTATATTAGCTAACGGTAACCATATAAATTTTTAAAATTTTAATTAAGTTTCAATAAAAATGAAATATTTGCTTGTACGCCATACTTTTTTCGTAGAACAGTAGAACTGTATGTTTTTCTTAATAAGATATAAATTTTATTTTTTGATTTCATATTAATAAATCTCTGGGTTTACTATATTAAAAAAAAATTCTAAAAAAAATTCATATGAAATATAAAGATTAAAAAAAGAGATTCTTAGTTTGTACACTATACTTATTTCGTGGACTGTAGTTCGCATTCACGCTGATCATTTGTATATGTACTTGAAGGGTCTGTGACTTTTCCTTTTGGGCCTTCGTGGCAGACATAATAAACCTATAAACAAATCATAACTTATTTTCTAAACTCTGCCCATGTCGCGTTCTTGAATGCTCCACTGCTGGTGCGATGCGGTCAAGTTCTTGGTAATAGTGAATGGTAAAATTTTGTACTACTTAATGTTTATAACCGAGATTTATTACTAAACATCGAAATCTGACAGAATGGCCTCTGTTGTTTAGATATAAAAATAACAACTTGATATTTCGTACAAAAATATGAGGTCCAACGACGTGAATGTAGGTTCTGTGGGTTCGGTTTTTCAGAGTCAGTAAATCCGCAAATAAATCTAGTAAAAATAAACCTACATACAAGTATAATGTTCAATCGAAAATTGTAGAACTAATTTCCAGTCCAAAGATGGATTTTGCCAACGTCGAATAAACTTTTTAGGTTTATTTCTTTTGATTCCTATAAAATAAATAATGAACACCTCTCAATTTTTCCTTCAAGATAAGGATGCGATAACACATTGTTATACCTAGGTGACCTGTGACCTAAGAGCTACTGCGATCAATATGTTGTTGTTTGGTAAAACTAACAATTTTTAAGGTAGAGTTAAGTTGGGATCTTGAAGTATTTTCCTGTGAAATATCAATGCCAAATCTATATGATTTTCAGAAAATAGTATTTTGATAATATACTCGTACTTTTTCAATTTACACTTAAACAAACATTTTAATTCGGATTTTAATCAAGTCCTCCGTGACTTTAAATAAAAATCTTGATTTTCCGATGTAACTTTGCTCTGTTTCTGAACCCCAGTTTGATGTGTTTTTGAGTACGGCGATTTAAGACAGAAATCCCCAGTTTTAAACGGGTATTTTTTTTGACAAAGACTAATATTATATACAAGTATTGTCGTTGCTATTTCTAATAATCAATAATGCTACTCGGTTAATGACATTAAACAAATTTGAAATCTTACTATTTCTCTTCTATACAACATACAAGTACTCGTACGTTTTACATCAGGCTAAGGAGAACATATTGTGGTATAGTAACAAAAATGATCTATAATTCTTAACATAAGCAAACTATACTTTTCAACTTGAGAACATATAATTCTCAAAAAACTATAATTTTCAACTTAAGAAAACTAGAATTCTCAAGTTAAGAAAACTGGAAATCTCAACTAAAGAAAAACATTATAATCAAACTAATATAATGTTATTTTAAAAAAATTTTAATTTTAAAAATGTCTGCACAAAACAGCAATCTGATTTAGGAATATCTTCATGAACAAATTTGATAGGTTTGTAATCTAGCCCATATATCTCAATGGTTATAGAAAATTTTGGTTAGTTTGAATAAGTTTAGTTTCAATGTAGAATTAAAAGCTTTCTTACGAGTTTTCCTTCTTAAAGATTACCTGGTTCGCTGGCCCAAACGTCTGTATTTAGCATTATTTATAGCATCCTAAAATTTCATTATAAAACATTAAAGCAAATAGCTGTTATTTAACTGTAATATATTAAAGACTACTTGGAGTTTAATATGTATAGTATTTAATATGCTTTCCTACACTCTTCATTCTCTCCACAGAGCTTATCTGCGCGATGTGATCGAAACGGCCAACATTTTCATTAAAATGATGGAAAAATTCTGCAAGGACACCGTGCTGTTGCAAGAGAAGAAACGCACTAAAAAGGGTGAACGCAAGCCAAAAGCAAATAAAAAACCGGAACCAAAACCGCAACTCACTGAGGTAGGTACACTCCGAAAAAACTGAACTGAAAAAACTGGGCCGCCGGCATTGCGGGTCAACTAAAAATTAATTTACAGTTAACAGCAGGGCCCTACACACTCACATACACAAAGTACCAAACTATTAAAGTTAATTATGTCACTGCAGCTTCTCGAAAAAAATACCAAAAAAAATAAAAAATAAATAAGCAAGTATTTAAAAATCCTTTTGCGAGGCAACGATGCACAATTAGCCGGCAGTGTTTTTGCCTCACTTCGCATTCAACTGCCTTAAATTGTTAGTGCAAACAATTTACGCCGCAGACCCGCTCGTTGCCCTCTGACATTGTATTGATGAAAAGTCGTAAGCATTTTGCAAATTTTATAACGAGACATCAAGTTTAATTGAGTGAAAATAAAGCAAAGTCGGCAGCGAGTGTTTAACTGGTTGAACGAGTGACGAAAATAATTTATACTCTCGTGCGAAAAAATGGAAGTACTTATTTGTGTGTGAAGAAATAACAAAGTTATTGACATACGTTAAGGAATTTATACCCCGTAACTTTAAAGAGTGTTATTTATTTAGTGACATGAGTTAATTAGAAATCAAAGTATTATTCTCAGGATTTCTGCGAGAAATAAAAATATTTTACTTAGTAAAGGATATTTCCAGATATCGGGATCAAGCTTGCCTATCTCAGTTCTCACATCGGTTCGTCATCGTCCATGTTTCTGCGCGTATAATAGAACGAAAATAATGAGGGACTTATATAGCGTAATTTTGTTAGTCGAAAGATGAATCTGCTTGTCAATTGCCGATCCCAAAGTAGCACCTGTTGGCAATAGTTATTCTGCGCTTGATCCCAAGGTTTACATTATTGGTGGAATTCATGCTGGTTCCGTGATATACAATGTCCTTAACTTTTTCAAATTTATAGTTGCCAACAGTGCCGTGGTTCCCAAGACGCGTAAAATCTTTGTGAGTGACCGTCAGGTACTTTGTCCTACCCTCGTTCAGGGTTAGTAAATCTCCCTTATTACCATCAGTACGATCTGCAGGAATAGGTTAACCACTTAATTTTGATTAAATTTTATAATACTCTCAGGTTCTTCCATCTAATTTAAAGCCAGATTGAAATTAAATAATTACTTTATTATTAAAGTAAAATCAGTATATATTATATACTAGTCATAATATCATACTGAAAAATGTTAAGTGAAGACATCTGAAACTCAAAAAGTTAGAATAAGAATTTATTAATTCCAAGGAAAGATTCTTATATGTAATGCCAGAAACATTAACCAGATCAATGAATTGATAATTGGTTGCAATTATTTTAATCGACAGTGTATGTTATGGCTGTTACCAGCTATATAGGGTTACCGGAAAATTTCCAAAAAAAAATAATAATAATTGTAGTAAATTGCAAAGAAATTAAGCATGAGCAAGCAAACACGGAAGGTTTTGATGTTTGTTTTATGACCAAATTAAGTGAGTTTGTAAAATAAATAATATTATTTTCATATATATTTATATTTAACGTGAATTATGTTAGTAAATTAAGTCTACATAAACTTAGTTAAATTTGACAAGAGACTTATTGATGAAATACGAAGACACATCCTAAAGTTTTTTTCTACTATACTATATCTGGTTCCTTTAAAGAAATATAACATGGCAGCATCTTTAATTTAATTAGCGGGCTTCGAGAAACTTTTGCTAACAGAGTCGTGAATAGGACAAACAAAATTTATGCACTTTAAATCACTTAGAAAAGCAAGCGATTATACCAAATACTTCCCCCTGCGGGTAGGGGTAAGAATTTACCCGCGGTAAGGCATGTTATTTTATTTTGCCCAGAAATATCAGCATAGTAAATGATGCCAGAAATAGTGCTATAATACTCAGCTTAAACTGATATTATAGACTTTAAATGAGAGTCAAACTAAAAAGACATTTGAAGTTCAAGAGACAAATGTCACCAGTAATTGAGTAAAGCGGGGCTCAACTGGCAGTAGCTTCGGCTACACAGTCTTACCGGAGACTCAACTCTGGTACCACGGGGAGCAGAATGGATTTCGATTCAATCTGCGCATTGGGTTCGGCCCTTTGGGGAGTATCGTGGTGGCTGTGGTTTAAACCTAAATGCTGGAAGAACTGAATTTCAGTTCGAAAAAAGAAGTTGCACAAGCAACTGGGTTCCGTACCCGAAAACGGAAGAGGTTTTAGGTCGGCCTCGAATCTTACCAAGATGGTCAGTGTGCCCCTACACACTGGCCACTGGTAACCAAATTAATACTTGCAAATAGCTCGTATTATTTGGGTCGCTTATCAACGCATTGTATTGATGCGTTGTGCTTTGGAGCACCGTGAGGTAAGGCCGTCGCCGGCAGGTACTCACGTAAATCAACAACGAAAGTTATACCAAATACTCTATTGTCTTGATTTTAAATTTTTTAACAAGCGTACATCTCTAAAAGGAAGCGAGTAAAATATGGCGAACCGAAAATAGTTTTTACTACTTTTTTCCAAACATATTATATAACAACCAGGTGGTTGGTAATTTTTGAAATACTTTCTATTGCACCTTTTTCAAACCCCGTTTTGAGTGTACACTTTTGATTTACAAGTATGTATAACATCCACAAATTTACAAAAAATTTAATGTCTTGTGTTTTAAAATTTTTGTAAGCTCAAGTTTTCATAGAGATTATACATCTACAAAATATTTTCAAATAAATAGTAAATAAATCAGAATCAATTTTTTTCTGATTTTTAATAGTAAAGTATTACTACAACTTTCAAAAATGTCTTTAAACACTTCTATTGTCTAATTTCTCCAAATTTTTGTAGTTTTCAAGCTTTTTAAACACCCTGTAGCAAACTATTTATGGTGTATGTATTGCGTACCAGCAGACAATTGTGCCTTCAAACTCTTCACTTTTGTTTTCTTTGTTATTTTAAATTGCGCATCGTCAGCTTAACGCTCATTCAAATTTTAATGGAGTCGTTGCAGAGTCAAGACCTCGTACGACATACATTTCGACTGCGTAAAATAAATTTCATGCCCAGCAATGGTGTAAGCTGCACTACGCCATATATTATACATTTATTATACATAAACGTGCACACAAGTACATACATACACACACACTTTAGTTCGTACCAGCACTTTAACACAAATACACGCTTACTTACTAATGCACATACATACATACATTGATTTATCATCCGCGCAATGACTCGCAATAATGGCCGCCACCATCGCCACTGCCGCGTTTGCAGCCGTAGTCGCGGTTCTGCTGCGCTGATTGATTGCCACACTGCGCCGCGGATGCGCGAATTTAAACTATCGTCTGTATTTTCTCATGTCACGCCGCCACCTCCAAACCCCGTTAGCCACTGCATGCGTACATATTTTCCTCATTGTGAGGGCATCTGCCTCCAGGCTGCTTGCCCTGACCTCGGGCTCGCGTGCTCCACTGATGGTCCAATCAGCAGAGACATTTCATTTCATTTTGCCGCTTTTCTTCGGTCATTTCGCCACATTGCACTCCGTCCTCCTGCTTGTTTATATATATATACAAATATATTTATAGATATGGCTGTGTGTCTGCAGTATCGCGTCGGCCTGCCCTCTGGCTACACACCCGCTCGCTCATTCAGGACTTCCGCTGCGCCAACACTGCGCCGCGTTTGCCTCTTGTCGCTGGCCGTTATTTATTTTATTGATAAATTTAAATATTAACTGTAATAATAGTTGTCCATTTAGTGCAGCGGTGACGCCCCACGCCCACAGACACACGCACACTTGTTTGTGTCTGTGTTGGCGCTGTGCTAGGTGGGTTTTGAGGTTGTTCTACGGAATCAGTTGCAGTCTGTGAAAATTTATAGTTTTTTCCGCTGACAAATGCATGGCGCATTGACCAGCATTTTCCTGTTTCACTCTCTGTCAATGTTTTCTCTGTCAGCAAAAGGTGCTAAAATTTTGAATAATAAAAAAAAAATAAAGTTTGTAATTTAAAGCTGCTATATATATATATTATATATGTATATGTAGATAGATAGTTACATTTAAACAAAACTTGATGGAAGCGAATTTTGAAATTTTTCTCTGAGTTGTTGTGGTTGTTGTAAAATATGTGCATATAAGTTTTATTTTGTGCAATAAGTCCAGCAAAAGGCATGGTTTCGACGCACAATGTTCATATATTCGTAGAATATCAAATAATACTAAAAATTTCTAAAATAATAAAAAAAATCTAAAGTATTCGACTGTGAAAACATCTTTAGCATGTCGATTGTTCAATAATTCGCGCAAAATGAAGCAACGTATCAAAAAGTGTTTAACAAATTTTTAATGCTGATTTTGAGATTAAAAATTAAGTTTAGTAATTAAAAAAGTACGCATTCTTGAGATTTATAAATTTTTAATAAAGTTTCAACGTCATCAACTCATATTTTTGAAATAATAATTTCATGAAAAAACATACATTTACAGTTTATTTTAGAAGTATTTCAACATATAATTCTTTTTCCATTAATTCAAAACTCAGGTGGCAGGTCTAAAAGTTAATAATTCGGCTTTAGAAAATTTAATTTAATTTTATTGTTTATAAATGCGTGTTTAGTATTTTATATGGTAAAGGTCAACTGCTGAATACAAACCAGTTAAAATAAAATATTTTTATTGAAAAATTTCGACTGAGATAATCCGATGATAGCACTGAGTAAAAAAAAAACCCTCACTGTCTCTTTTTACTGATTTGTTTTTAAAGTCAAAATCAATTATTCCAGTGAATTTACTATGAATATTACTGAATGCCAGAAAGAACTCTTTCGATAAAAAGCAAGCGTTTAGGTAGAGTTGCATTTGCATTTGTGGATAAAATCTAATATCAGCGTTGACTTTATGATGCTAATACCATTTGATATTGGCAACTCGTTGGCTCCCCAGAATTAAGTAAACGCAAAATTTGAGACACTCTGGAATTATAGGAAAAAATATATATAATATATATTACGGAATCATGTTTACCTTCTTATCTTTGCAAATTTTGCATGTCTGCCTGTTAACGTGAATTTTATAAAAATTATTCAGTATTAAATTCAATAAAAGTGATCGCATTTCAATAAATTCTACGATATACGAAAATTAAAATAAAAACGTTATCTGCATTTAGGGTCAATATTATAAAAATGGTTTTAAGGTGTTATATCCATTTACAAGTCCGAAAAAATTAATTTTTTTGTGAATTTTTTTAAAAGGCATTTTATTAAACAAATATATAAAAGCAATCGACATTTAAAGAACTTAATGTACTGTAAAATTCGGTGATTCATTTTGAAACTCCCGGCAAAGGTGTCTTTGGTAAGGAAGATATTGCTATTTAAAATTATCTCAAATCCAGAAACCAAAAAAATGTGTATAACCATAGATGAATACAGGTAATGGTAAAAAAAAAGTCAAAAGTTTAATTTGACAACATGACAGCTTATAAAAAAAACGATTTTTGTAAAAATATTTACTTTTCAATGTGACTTTAAAAAATCTAAATTATTATCGAAAATCTCATCCCTTCAATCAATAACTGACAATTATATCCGAGAAGATCGAGTAAAAATCTCAATGCGATCGATCCAACAGTTTCGGAGAAATTTTCCTCACCGACTCTGAAAGCAGCGTTTCGAGAAAAACACGTTCAAAGCTTTGGAGCCGATTTCAAATACACTCATATCTCCGAAACTATTTGCCGGTTCATTATGAACTTTTTGGGTAATATTTTCAAATATATCTACATTGGCTATACATATGACATGTAAAAAAATCATTTTTTTGAAATTCACAAGTGGATATAACCTCTTATGCATATACTTTTATGTAAAAAAATTTATTTGGAAGTAAAGTAAAACTTATACGAAGTAAAAAACAACAAACAATTCAAGCAGGTTATTTACAATTGATAATACATGTTTCAATAAATTACTGTAAAATGATGCAGCGCGCAATTAAATTGAGCGTTTAATGTATTTAATCTGTTACACAGCCACTCACACCATTTGCCCCACACCACCCCCGCCTACAAAAATCCTCAAATGAAATTCATTGGCCGCTGCACTTCCGCCGCCACTTCCTTTTTGCCTCGTTTGAGTTTTCATTTTACTGCTCAATATTTTTTTAAATACTGATTTTAAAATTACCCAAGTAAATTGTGCGGCAAAAATAAGCCGAAATTAATAAGTGAAATCGCATTGTTGCCAGCTCTGTTGCAACATTTTCAATTACTTGCGTGGGTATGTGTGCCTTTGTTATAGTATTTGTATATGCAATCACGTGTGTTAGCCGCCTTTGTCAGCTAGTTAGCGCTTTATATGAATTTGCTGTAAAATAATCAGCTCTGCTGCAGGCCTTGCCAAACAAATAAAAATTCTCGAATGCAAATATGTCGGTAAAACGGTAAAAACGTACGGAAAACGGAAGCCATATGTGTAGTTGAGCAATCGGAAATTTGTATAAAATAAAAATGAAATGTTTTCGCTAAAATTTTGCAATTAAATATGCAAAACATTGTAGACAGTGGAGAACACACTGTGGGGGAAATGCAATTTTAACTTTTGTGACGGAAAATTAGGGCAACCAAGAAATGTACTTTGCAAATAGGCTACATATTGTATTTGATATGCAAATTACGGAAATAATTTTAGTAATTGCAGTTAAAGCAAATATGTGTATTATGCTCAATACTCTCTAAACATTAGCATTTTATATCTATATTTATTTTTGACAATATCTGCGGTGGGTTTTCATGAAGAATGGATATTAGTATTTCATATCTCCATCAATTCCTTATTGTTGTAGAAGGTTATTTCCAATTTTGAATTAAAAAAAATCGCGTTTATTTTGCTTATATGTGGGATGTACATACATATATATTATATGTTTATTTCAAAATATACACAGAAAATTTGAGGTTGATGCGGCATATATGTAGTTCCGGAGTTATGTGCGTATTTGCAAGATTTTTTTAAATTGATGCAATCTGCTCCCAAAACTTTGAACGCCGTTTGAAATTTTCACACAAAATGTATCCTTATCTTCATCTGTTATAATAAACCTTTTGTATTCATTTATTATAATAATAAGCTTGCTTAGTTTTTGGACTTCGGATAATTTAAGGCAAAAGAATGTTCCACAACTAGAGACACCAATTTTTGGTTGATTAAGGGAATCCAACTTTTTTCAAAATCTATCACCGTATATTCAAGTATTTTAAATTTTGTAAATGAACAAAAACGGGTTTTTATGGCTTGCGAGTCCATTCTTTAAATTTTTAATTAAGTTTTAATGGACATTGGCTACACATCCGGGCTTGCAGATTTGATTCTGTTTAACTAATTTTTGTGGAGTTGTTTGAAAAGCAATCTCTACGCTAGGGATGCTCGGACCATTATATTCTGTAGTCCATATATTAATCTCCTGACCCAATAGCTGCTTTAAAGTAACTAGTTAAATACTTTCTTAAGTATAGACTGGTTGACAAAGAAGCAGAAAGTTGAGAAGCTTATGAGATATCAGGCATAATAGATGTAGAAACTTGTTGTTGTTAATTTCCAAGGATGATAGCCATTAATTCTACCTATGTATATATAAATATCTAGAGAAATAGATGTGTGCTTTCTAATCGTTCTCCTGTGAGGCAGAAGTGTGTGAGTATTTAGAATGATCATCTAATGTGTATAGTTTTATAATATAATTGTTAATAAATATATTAAATGTTTGGATTTTTTTATTATTTGTACTATTTTTGATGGTTTTTTTTTTTTCAAATATATTCATAATATAATGAAATTTAAAACTTGTAGGGAAAACAAATTTTTTTAAGTGATAATAATCTCTAGACTTTTTGCATAAAATGGAACTCTTTTTCAGATTTCTTTAGTTCAATCTACATAAGAAACCAAACACTTTCAAAACATTAATTACTTTGATTATTATTTCTTTCATAAATATGCCATTACACAGAACTTGCTGACAATAGTTGTACCCTAAACATGGTATATTAAGATTGCCACGAAGTTTGGAACACCCGCAGGAAAACGTCGGCGCTTTTGTAAAATATATACATAAATAATCAAGCGTGACGAGTCGATTTAGCCATGTGAGATTTAGCGAATATGAGAATGGTATTATAGTTTCGGTGCAACCGAAGTATATTGTATTATCCGCAACAGCTGTATTTTATGGCAGCGGATGTAAAAAATGTCATTTAACACAGAATACGAAAAAGTATGAAAATAAATATTTGCATAACGATTGCCTAAACAGAGTAGTAAAATTAATACTAATTTATTATTAATATGCATTATACAATATATAAAATTTTTGTTAACATTAATTCACTTTAAGCTTATTAAGTAGCTGCACATATAATATTTGGGTGCTAAATTTAAAGCATTTCCGTTGCTTTCCATGGTAAACAATAAAAAAATTGTTGAATTTTTTTTTGTTGTTGAGTTTTGAATATTGAATGTTGTATATAAAAAGGATTAGGAATGTAAACGTGTGATACAATTTATTGCGCAAATTATTTGTTAATACTTTAGGATGGGTTAGGATTTCAAGTTTGTGAAGAATATAGAATGCATCCATTTGGGTTAAACTGGAAAAATATAGCTTTAAATATTATATATATACATTAAATATTATATAATATATTAAGCTGGTTATCTCGACATGTTAATAATAATATAATCTCTTAGAACCCCGACGACTTGACGTTGAAGATTGTATCCAGTGTATAATTTTAAACCGATTTCATTACTTCATCTAAGTACAATATTATATTATTATACGACATGTTCTCACTCTTTCTTTTTATCTATATTTTCAGGAGGAGCTCTCCAATAAATGGGCTGAAGTAGCCGGCGAAATAAGTGAAATACTCACCAATGAGCTCCAGTTGCCCGAAGAGGATCAACCTCTGCCTTTCGATGCGACTTCTGAGAAAAGCATTGATGATCAAAAGTGAGTTATTAATTTGTATAAAAAATATTATCGGAAATAGCGATTTAATAATTTTTTAAAATCTACATATATGAAATTATTAAAGTTCACTAGTAAGCCTCGAAGTAGTACAATGAGTTGTTTCAGAATAAACGAAAGTTGAAAATGATTTTTAGGCTCATTTGAGTATCTGGGACAAAACTATGCATATTTGATCACGATAGAAAGAAAATATATGCTACTTTTCGTCGCAATCAACTATTCTTGTTTCAATTCTAAAGAACTTTGAAGTGAAATATATGCTCTACGAGCAAGCATACCGCAAAACTGTAAACTTTCACTTCACTTCAAAATTTCAAGCAAAGCCTTCTCCAAGAAGTGCAGGTTATCCAAGTTCAAAGACCTTTAATTTCAGTTTTTCCGGTCAAAATTATGTTCTAGATCAGTTAACGTTGACAGCTTAAAACGCTCACCCAAAATGAAAGTTAAAAGTTCGGAAGCATGCGAAATTAAAAAGCAATACTGAGTAAAGTAGTAAGGAATTCGAAAAAGTTGTCATACTTTATCTACTTATATTCTATCCGAGAAAACCTGGCCGCTTTTCGAGAAAGTCAACTTATGGCTACTAAACCAAGTAAAACTAAACGAAAAGAGACTTACTTGGTAAAGAAAAAAACACAACTCTTTGAAGATAACTGCATATAGATTATTATAGCACGTAATACTCTGCTGGTTATGACTCAACTCGAACGGCAAACACGTGTCTTCTAGTTAAGTTCATTACTCAAAAAGGTGTTTATATTTTAGATACAGGCAAATTAAAATTTTTCTAAATAAACTACTCTCGTTTATTTTTCTGCATTCTTCACCCCATTAATTTTCTAATCAATTTAAATATTATATATATGTTTTTTCAATTTCAACAGTTGCTTTAACCATTTAGAATGCCTACTGACGCAATTTTCTGAATTAGCTTGCAAACATTTTTTCCTGTGAAATTTTTAAGTTTTTCTGACAATTTAAATACAAAATTTCTTTTTGACTTGTCTGCTGAACACAGAAAGCAAGCCATACCTTGCTAAAGTTGATAAGCCAAATATGTTCGGTATTTTCGAGTTTAAATAGCAAGTTGAATGCCACATAGAGCTCCTTTCATTGTTTGCTGCACTTTTCTTCAATTCCTTACATTAGGGATGGTGAAAAATAACTGTTATAACGATGTATGCGTTGCAAATATCGAAGCTTTTATAGTCGTTGAAGTGAAGAGCAAGGCATCAAAGAATGTGGGAAATATCGATGTATACTTTAAATAATTACTTTATAGAAATCCTACAGTTTAGCCTCCCTAGTATTTTTCTCAACTTCGTACTAATACGAGTATATGCATGTGTTCACATTTTAGTGCTTTTGCTGTTTATTTAATTCTTCTAAAGCTTTTAACAGCTTTTTTCGGGTTTTCACCTACCTTAGCAGTTCAATAACATTACGCTCAATCTTTGTTGAGCATTTTGCTTTTATTATAGAATTTCTGAATGAAGTTAATTTTTTAGCAGCCAACCTAACTAAAAAGTGTGCATAGGATGTATGCTAATATGTAAATATATTTTTCCGATGTGGTAAGTCACATAAGCTCTACTTTTTGCTTCTTTTCAAATATATTCTTAACGTGACGTCAGCTTTATTCGGGACTATAAACAGATATATATAAATATCTCATATATAAAGTGCGTGGATGATGCTTGGTTTATGTTATAAACTTGAGACTGTTATATTGTATTTTGGCTCGATACAAAATGTAGAGTGCTGAAAGTATAAAATTTGTAATTGTATATCAATTCAAAAATGCTTTATAATAATTGCTTACCAGTCCGATAAATATCGATAGATAAAAAGTGAACATCAATCGTAACGTCATGACTTGGGCTTCCAAATATGTAAGCTAGATAGTCATCAAATTAATTTTAACTTCTATGCATTTCTGTTTTTCAATAGTATGTTTTTGAAGACGACATCAGTAGTTGAGGACAAGTGGTTATTGGTTATGATAAACACTAAAAAATTAGGAAATCGATATTTTTTTTTAAACAAACTAAGCCATACAGACGGAAACGACATTTAGTTGTAGCAAAACAGTGGTAATGGAGAACAACCTGAGTCGAAATTGTGATTATTTTCAACAGCTGTTCCTTGCTACGCTATTTTTTAATAGGCTTTTATTAGCTTGGGTTGTATGTATGTATGTATGTAATGGAATCTTAGAGCTCAATTTTCAGCGGTTTCCAGAAGTCTGATCAATTTAAAACTTTGCAGACGTATCAAGGACCGATGCCGATGCAATAATTTGATAAGAGTTTCCCATTAATTTAAAAGTGGGCGTAACCCCGCCCGTAAATGGCTTAATGTATATATCTTCCAAACCGCTAAAGCTAGCTCAACCAAATTTGCTGAAAGGAAGTCCTTTTAGCCCTTTTTCATACGCTGTGAATAAAATCAGATAATAACCACGCCCACTTCCCATATTACAGTTATGTAAAAATATACTTAAAGTACGATAACTGACGAGATAAATGCGCCATACGCATTACGTTTCACAAACAAGATGGTAGGGTAGAGCTTTATAGAAGGAGGTGTAAAAATTCCATTAAAACGTGTGTTTTTTTTTTAGTTTTTTTAAACTACAATATATTTTTGTTAAGCAGTATATTAATAGTATATTAAGTTTGCCACGAAGTATGTAACACTTCGAAGGAAACATTAGAGACCATATAAAATATGTACATAAATAATCAGCATGATGAGCTGAGTCCGTTCGTCTGTCCATGAGTATATACGCGAATTAGTCTCTCAGTTTTTGAGATATCGATCTTAAATTTAGTATATGACCGTTTCTCACCTAGAAGCTGCTCATTTGTCGCAATGTGCGATATCGGACCACTACAGCATATTGCTGTCATATAAGCTAAACAATCGGAATCAAATTCTTGTAAGGAATCTTTTGTATTTGTGAGGGATATTATAGCTTCGGTGCAAACGAAGTTAACGTTCTTTCCTGTTATAGGAAATATTCGGTTACTTCGGCTCTGCATTGACATAAAAATAACAATGCACTTTTTTGCTTCGTCCACTCATACAAAATTTTCGAATTACCTTGACTATTTTGTACAATAGAAGTACTTGGAACGCTAAGCATGTTGTCTTAACCTAGTCCAATCGGGACAATCGATATCCCCGATTATCTTTCTTACATATTTTCTAACTACACTTAGAAACCATCCTATATATTATAGATTTATCGATCTTTGAACTAATTTACTGACTAAATTTTGCTTAGATTCAAGCCCTTAATGGCATAATGATTGATACTCGAGTCTTTTTAAGTTTCTACGCTAGCTCGTCAACGTCATCAGTTCAGAGCAACTATATACATATATATCAAAAAAACTATATACTTCGATATATCGAAACAACATTTTTTTTACTCATCAGCATATCAATTGCAAAATGTTCATAAATTACACGAATCCTTAAAAACAGTAATTATAAATATCACGATATCAGCGCTATCTAGCGTGCAAGATAACCAAACCTGTAGAACACATGCCTAAAATTTGTTTTTACTACCGACATTTCTCTACTATTTATAGGAGACGGTAGAAACAACAAAATTACGTCCATTGCTTTGTGTCGTAAAAAAGAATAGACAACCATTTTTTTTAAATTTTGCTATCAAGGTCTTGAAAAATTTTAATTATACCCAAAAATACATAGGGTCATTTAGTATTCACATGTAAATGAATATTAGCTTATCTGTTATATAATGGACCACGTTGCTATCTTTCGTTGCACCAAATTGGAAAATTGAAAAGCTCTTTTAATTTCATTTGTATTGCTTGGCCATTGGTTTACAAACCATCTGGCCAATAAATGCTGTAGCAGCTTTTCACCTATACACTAGTAAATACATATGCATATGTATATATGTAGATGAATATGTATAAGGAATACAAAAGGCAAAAGTATGCCAACTCCAAAGCCACGACCAGCTCTCATATCCCTTATGTCAGCTGTAATCCTTTTTACATCTACGAAAATCTGCATGCGCTATTGTTGTTGTTACCATAGCGGGAGTATTTCGAGTTTTTTTTTTGTTTTTGTGTTTGTAGTATATTGTAGCGTTTTGGTGCGCTTTAGTTATGCTGATTTTGCATTTCGTATATTTTAAATTAATTTTGTGTTTCCTTTCATGTTTACATCCTTTTTTATTTTGAAATTGGTCTGTGATTCTCTATCTACATTTTCTTGTTGTTTTTTTTTTACAGGGAAGACTGTATGTTGCGTTTGCATCGATTTTTGCGCGATCAGCAATTTGAAAATTCCGTTTCTCTACTGCGAGCAGCCAGGTAAGTGCCTAAATAACAATATTTAAACTAAATTTCATTTGAAAACACTTGAGTTTTTAATTTATATTTTACTAAGCTATTGCATAGCTTCTATCGCGGAATTTGAGCGTGGTGACTGAATCAAGAAATTCCGTAACGGAAATAAACCTATCACAATCAAAAGGTATGCGCAAACTGTTTGCATACTTTTAGGCGTATTATCGCATATCTCAATCGAAACAAATCAATTGAAGAGCAGGGTGATTTAAAAGTAATAATATTTGAAATACAATTTTTTTAAAGCCAAATAAAAATTTAATTATTAAAAAATAGATTTATCAATATTCGGAGTCATAATATTAGTAAAATTATAATTAAGCTATTGCATGGCTTTTATCGCTGGATTTGAGCGCGGTGACCGAATCAAGAAGTTCCGTAACGGAAATAAATCTAACAAAATGTGCAAAATGTTTGCATACTTGTAGTCTTTTCGCACATCTCAAGTGGAACAAATCAATTGAAGAGCAGGGTGTTTCAAAAGTAATAATATTTAAGATACAATTTTTTAATGGCAAATATTAATATGAAATTAAAAAAAATTTAATTAATAAAAATTACAATAAATTATTCAATATTAGGAGTCATAATATTAGTAACATTATTATTATTTTGGTAAATAGCTATCCCACCTTTTGGATCAGTATCTCGTTTGAATTAAACACTTTTATTGGAATTATGTATTTCAATCGGATTATCAATGGTAAAAACTTTCCACTCATCTTGGCTTGCGATTTCAACATCAACTTCACTGATAAAATATCAGAGCGGTTGACAACTTTTCTTTGGGAAAAAATTAATTTGAAAATGAATAATGATCCAAAAAAATCCACAATAAAATATGGCACCACCATTGACGCGGTATTTTCCAGATATTTAGAGAATATCATGTCTCAAACTAATTTTTCTTATCTCAGTTATCATAAACCTGTAGTTTGCATGATAACTGAATGATTACTGAGTAACCTACATGTATTGTAAGATAATACAAATATTTTAAACAATATTAACTTCTCATTTATTCAATAAAAGAAAAAAATTTGTTTTCTTGTCGATCACCACGCTCAAAAAGTTTAACTTGAATTAATATCACAGAAAGCACTTGAGTTATTATTCAAGAAAAAAATACTGCATAAACAATATATTTGTAATTGCATAATTTGTTCAAAAATGCTATGCAATAGATTTACCGCGGCAGTCCCCGAGTGCCACACGTACTTTTTTTTGTATTTATTTATGAACAATGGTTATCACAATTGTAAAATCTTTTTGATTTCAAAAAAAGATTCTAAAAAATAATGATAATACCCAGTAAACTACAGTTTCTTACAGGTCCTGCTATAAACTCCAGTTTCAAGATGTTGTGTTTATGAGTTACACTCAATCTAAATATTTGGGTGTCTAAAAAACTCTAAGCTTAACATATTTAGACATTTGTCTGTTGATTTTTATTATCCATAATTTAAGAAAAAGGAACTCAAGTATAAAATTTATTTCCTTCTTGTGGTAGTAAATTTGATAACTGTGCTAAATCAATCCAATTTTAAACATTGTTGGTCGAAACAACCCATAAAAAGCACACAAAAAAAAAATGGCGTTAAAACGATTAACAAAAATTCGCTTTCAAAGTAAACTGTATTCTTATTAGTTATGTTTAATGCTAAACATCCAAATTTGCAATAACTCAAGTTAGGATGTACTTCCTAATGCTGATCTGCGATTTCAGATTTACTTCGCAAATTAAATTCGGTGTTTAAGCTCAACACCATGTTGTCCAACAAACTTTAGTTTGCATCGTTCTGTTCACACTAACCAATGTTGCGGTTAAAGTTAGCATAGGTTATAGGGTTGATCGTAATCGATAGGTTTCACTAGAAGTTCACCCTTAGTGTTACTCATAAACTTCTAAAAGTGGATCACCACATTTTCATATCTCAACTAAGCGTTTTCAGTTTACCACAAATTTGTTAAAACGCCTAACATTAATCCCTGTCACTCCGTTATGTTTGCTGTAGGTGTGTCTACCGCGAAATTTCAATCTCAGTGTGGGAAATGCCGAGAAGAGAAAGTGGATGATTCCACTTCTCCGTCCTTCGTACAGCTTTGACAAAAAACGTTCGACAAAATGCTTTGTCGCCCCGTTTATGAACTCATTGGACACTGTCCAGTCAGATCAACGAGATTGACTTTGCTAAGAACAAGTAATTCGGAGGAACTCTTACGTTTCACTCTGGGCTAGATGGATCTCGCAGTTGCACAAGTTCCGGTTGTTGACCAGCGCGTGGCGACTTCACTGGAGGTTCACAGGTCCATCGCTAGAACCGCGTTTCTTTAACTTTCCATTCACATATCAGCAAAAACAAAACACATTTTTTTGAAATTGCCAACTGGATATAATCCCTTAATATTCACAATAATAAGCGCAGAACATAACATACAATATCAAAGTCCGAATCAAGTTTTTACCACGCTGGGGTGCTAGTCATTACACTTGTTACGAATACTGCATCTCGAAGGTCGTTTTCCTATTGGAAAACGTATGTTCTTACTGGAAAACAAATCTTCCCTCTTGGGTTCGGCCACGTTTAAGAAAGCAATAGCGATGGGCGTAGTAATCTCGAAAACGAGCGTACGAACAATTTCGGGTCTATACTATTATTCAGCACTCAGCTGGGTATTGAACAAAACCAATTTTTTTCGAGAGAGTTTGAGTTCGAAAGATTGAGTCATAAGTAAAAAGTGGTTTTCGAAGTTAGCCTCCAAAAGCGAAATATTTATTTTCGAAGTTTGAAATTGAGCTTATTTTACAAATCATTACTTTTCCGCTTATTTCAATTCTATATAATATTTTTCTGTCAGACTTAATAACAGATGCTACAGGCGACCAAAATCAGGTCTTTCTTAAAATTTCGACAACAGAGATATGAAACTATGACAGAAGTATTTCTCGAGCTTAACAATCAAAGTTTAAGCCATTAGTAAATATTGTGATTTAACTGTACTTCCTAATTATAACAGTAACAGTGACGAATGATCCCGCAGGTACATAGGTGAACAAAAATTGTATTATTATATCAGATCAATACTTTCGAAGGCAAAAAGGTGACCCGCAGAGCGTTTTAGCAGTTCTAGTTTTATTCACTTTTCAATTAGCGATTAGCTGGCTGACAGCCTGTCAGTCTCTTTGGCTACTTCTCTTAAAAACACAATCTCATCATCACTCAAAAAAGGAATATTTCTTAATACTTCCGCGTACCTTTACTGCGCATTAACTGCTAATTATTTTTACTTTAAGAAATGAAAAAAATATATATATTCGCTTTGCGACTTTACCCCTTGACTGCCACTGCATTTTAAGTCTTCTATTCACTTTAAGTGCATCGCGACGCCAATAAATCCATGCTTAAAACGTTCCATCTACTTTTATTCCTCCATTTTACACATTCTTTGTTCACCTTGCTACTAAATTTACACAAAGCATTTGGCGTAATAAATTAACTTGCTTCGTGAAGAAATTCCTTGCAGCAGCTTTTGTGCAAATTTCATCCAGTCCTTTTGGTGTCTTTATGCATAGTGCGCCAAGCCCAGCTGCCACGCAGCCGTGTGCTTGTGCCGCCTCACACCCAATCTTACAGGTATTACCGTTAGTCCTGCGAAATACCTTTTTATTGGCCTTTGAACGCAGTCCGCAACCATAAAATATGCTTACCGCATTCGGTTGCAAGGCAACCGAGCCACCAGCTGGCCGATGATAGCTGCTTAAATGCAGCGTTGGTGTCCGGGTTGAGTACTTCGAGATGTACATAAACGCTGTTATCTGAAGGTGGTTGCATAATGGCTGTGCCCCAATGATTTGGCGGTGTGACAAAGTGCGGTGCTGAAGCCGTTGAGCTTTTGGGGATTCCGTAGCCGCTGCTTTTGAATATTAAATATTCGCTTGGTATAAGTATTTATTGGTAAAATTTATTTCGAAATTTGGTAGATTATTAGATGTTGCCATTGTGACGACGCATAATCCCTTTTGGTTAGCGGTAATTTAGATTGCAGCCAGTGTTGCCACCTCAATAAATTAATTTTGGCAAATTTTAATAGCTTTCTAAATATAGACAAACACGTTCCTGACATTGTGTAGTTATTATATAGTAAAATACGATTATATAGAAAATACAATTTTATGATACCAAAACAGTTTTTGTTTTAGAATGATAACGATCTCACTCATATCAAGTATTAACATCAAGCTTATAAAATTATCTTTCTCGCAATTAGGGAACAGATCTGTCCAAAGCTCGATATACGAAAAATATGGCACAAACTATCCCCCACTTTTCTCACAATAATCAAAAAAAAATTCGGTCAATATTACTCTCAGTTTATACAAAGAATTATTTTTCACTTTATACCGACCTCTTGGGTGCCAAAGTTCGCCCATAACGAACGACAAGGGTCTTTTCTCGCGTTCCCACAATATTTTTCGACGTGTATGAAACGATCGTATAGTATTGTAGATTAGGTTAGGTTTTGAAAGATTCCAAATCTGAGAATCATTCCTCGACAGTTTTAGTCAAAACAACTGGAATATGAAGTAAACTTTCGTACAAGTACTTGTATATCAACAAATCGTCGTGAGTCCAATTTAAATTTTCCAAAATGAACTAAGATTGGCTTGATCAGAAAGAGCCATTAAGCTTCCACTTTAGTCTCTCAAAAGCTGGACAGTCACTGCGAAGTTAATACCATTTCGAGATAACCTCGACAGTAAAAATCACGCAAAGTGTTTAGCTGACTATTATTTTCATTCAAAACTATAACAAATAGTAAGATACACCTTTCAAATCGAAAAAGAGATTATCAAACCAAAGGACGGGTTCTTACAAGTTCAACTGATTGTCCAGTGACTGCCAAGATTATAAAAGGCAAAGTCATCCAAAAGGAGACCAAAAGAGAAAAAGCGAACACTCCAA